CTCTCTCTCTCTCTCTCTCTCTCTCTCTCTCTCTCTCTCTCTCTCTCTCTCTCTCTCTCTCTCTCTCAGTCTTGGATCGCTCACTCTCCCTTCCTGAATACACCCGCTATCTTACTCCCTTCGCCTTGTTCCTGCTTCGCGGCTATGGCCGCCGTCTCCCTGCTCGTCTTCCCTTACTATGGCGCAAATACACCCGCTATCTTACTCCCTTCGCCTTCTTCCTGCTTCGTGGCTATGGCCGTCGTCTCCCTGCTCGTCTTCCCTTACTATGGCGCTCGTCACCCTTCTTCCCCTCCTCGTGAAGTTGGCTGATGCGAATGCGTTTGCAGACTGCTGACGCACCTGTCAGTTGGATTTACCCTGTGATGGGTGGCCATAGCTGCATTGAAGGTGAAAATCTCCAAGACCTTAAGGAACTGGCGATCTTTGGTCATGGACCCCTGGAAATTCTGGCGAGCAGGGAGACTACGTTGATAAGGTTGGAGATGCTGGAAAGAAGAGTTCATGTTGGAGAGGAGAGTCCGATATAGATAGGATTGATGTGAGGTGGCAAGTTGAGGGAGAAGACTATCGAGAATAACTGGTGGGAGACTGGCGGACATTGAGACCCTTGTTATTGTTTAGGGAAAACTTGGGTGCAGTCACGGTTTCAGTTTGAAAATGCCCTTCAGTCATGATTCCGCGAATGTTGTGCCAATGTGAAGGAAATCGTGAATATATACAACCCAACTGTAGGGTCCGGTGGGGATGTGTTGTATTCGAGGGATGCCTGAAGTGGATTTTAAACTGAAATTGTGACTGCGCCCTAGTTACCCCTATTGTTTATTACTGAGAGCCATTCTTTGTGTTCCGGTTCATTCTCCTTGCTTGATTGTGCACTGACATTGCTCTGCTTGTATTCACATTGCCTTGGACTCGATTAAGCTTCCGTTTGTACAGGATCAATGCATCACAATCATAGAGAGTCAGAGACAATGAAAGTTCTGTACCATCCATACTCTTGTTCGACGTTGTTTCAGCGAATCCACACTGAATACTCCAGAGCGCCATTATCCAATGGAAGATGAGATTCACTGTATACAATGCACCGGTCGGTGGGCAGGATGGTCTTGACGCCCATGCAGACCTACAGTCCGTTTCCATCCTTGAATCTCCCCTTTCCAACCTCCTACTTGTGGATAATAAGTCCAACACGTATTTGCTTCTCTCCAGCATCTGGCAAGATGAAAAAACAACAACAAACGGTGTTTAGGGTTTAGGGTTTAAGGTTAAGACGTTAGGGTTTACGACTGGAGGTTGTTTTTTGGCTTTTACTGCGGTAGTCTGTTTCGTGTGCTTTCTGAATAAGTTTGTGGTCAAGCGCTCTTGTACGTATGCCTTGTGCTTACTTGCTGAGTTTAAAGTGTGTGTGTGTGTGTGTGTGTGTGTGTGTGTGTGTGTGTGTGTGTGTGTGTGTGTGTG